GGTCTGGGGGTGATGGATTGACTTTTCCCGTGTACTGTCAATTCATGAAACCTGGCACGGAGGAGTAAATTGACTATTTTGCCTCTGAACAAATGGAGCAATTCTGGACCCAAAGACATCGTTTGATGTTAGTTGTTTCTTGGTTAAGACACAACACCCTATACCAATGAGTAATACTCTTGAAAATTAAAAAATTAATTTAATTTATTGATTTAATANGGTTAAGACACAACACCCTATACCAATGAGTAATACTCTTGAAAATTAAAAAATTGATTTAATTTATTAATTTAATAATATAATTTTATTGAAATTGTTAAATTAATATCAAGTTCTAAGATTTAATAGGGTCTACAATCAATTCAAAAACTATAATTAATTGAGTCCCAATAATGTTGCTTCATATGAATTGATTTTATGCAAACAATCATTGTTGTTTGGACAAAAAAAAAAAAAACTATGTTGGCGTCAAGTAAAATAAAACAAGAAATCCAATTATGGGTTCCACAACTTGAAACTAATAACCATAATGGAATGTATGTGTAATGTGTAATGGGTTCCACGACTTTGACAAATCTCTAAATCGAGGCTTCGTGGAAGAGTGGTGGGGTGTGGGTTGAGAAAAAAAAGATCAACATTGATGGCTAGACTATCCTTCATAATTATGCCAGTAGATTATTACACGATTCATGAACCACATGTCATTTTTTGAATTACACTTCCTCCTCCTATGGTTATATCTTTTTGCAGTTTACTTGCCTCGCATTCAAAAATAAATATTTCATGAACCAAATGGCAAAATTACAATTTCCCTCTACAGTAACTGGCAGTGTGACTTTTTAGCCTTCTTTGAGACTTCGTATATAGAAAATGCACTTTCAAAATACACAAATACACTTTTGATTCTTGAAAATAAAAAAAAAAACCCTCCATCTCTTCTTCTTCTTCTTGCACAACATTTCTAATGCATTGCTTAGTCATTTAATCCAGATGAATTGATGAGTCATCCCATGTATAATGTACTTGGTTAGAATTATCTTACCTGGCGGTGTTTAAATTTTTGTTTACTCGACTTATTCCAACCCTACTCGATTGATCGGCTTCCTCAAAAAATATGCTGGCTAATAGAAGACTTTTTAATATTTTCCAAAAAATCGAGTAAAAATGTGAAATACGTACAAAAATTCCATTTTCATACTTAACCCGCATGAATATTTATATTTTTAAAAATATATATATTATGAGTCACATATAAATCGGGTACCTTGCGTTTGATCCTAACCCTACAAAAGTAGCAAATCATCCACAAAAATTATAAAACATTTTGATGTAAAATAACTCATAAAAATTATAAACACATCACTTAAAGTTATAAAATTTGAAGGTGGAGTAGCAAAATTTACTACATTAATATCTTTTTTAATCTGAGTGAGGGTATAATATGAGTCCCGAGAATTTAAACATTTTAAAGTGTAAATCAAAAGTTATAATCTTTTAAAATACGAAGTATCATTCACCCCTTTGATAAAACAACTTAAATCGTCGTTTGATTAGAAGAAGGGAGACTAAAGTAATAGACTTGATGAAATAAGGATTAAATAAACACAAATTTAGAAAATTTTACCCAACGGAGAATATGGCAACTCTTTAGTTGATTGTTAACATTCTTGACTTACTAACCAGTATTTCACCTGCTTTGTCTCAATATTCTTCGATGAGTCCAACATTTCACCTGCTTTGTCTCAATATTCTTAGTAGTTTCTGCATATTAGGTGGATCTCTTTTTTAAGTTTGAATTTTTGTTTTTACTACACATGTGACTGCCTGAATTATGTGATTCACTGTTATCTTAACTACCTTAATAAATCACTCATGTGATATGCAGAAGTTTTCTATTAAATTTAACTGCGTATTTGGCTGGAAGAGTCACATTGAATCAGATTGTATGGCTGATAGGCTAAATCAAGAGAAAAACATGAATCATAAGGTAATTTTTAATTTAAACTTCATTTTTTTTACAAGACGTCGGTTTATATTGGAGCACTTTATGCTACAAACAACCTTATAAAAGATGCCGTATTTACAAACACTTTCTCCTACATTCTTATGGGTTTTTTTAAGTAGTTTCTGCATATTGGATAGATAAGTTGGCACTCAATATAGTTTCATTATAAACCTTTTCGGTTAAAGGCTGTTTTTTTACCAGCAATTGCAAGAACACTGGTTAATAAACGCCAGCAAAAGCCTACTTTCTTGTATGGGGAAGTCTTCTTGTTACTGTCTTTTTAAGTTCTTTTCCAAAAGTGTGAATGAATGTTTGTTACTAGTTCTTTATTTTGACAGAAATGATCAAAAAGAGATTTAACGTTTTGCAATGTAAGTGGTGAGACGACACAACATACGTGGAAAGGACATAATTTCAAAGATAGTGTATTACAATGTATGATATGTTATATTAACATCCATAAAATTTTTGAAAGCACATAAGGAAAAATCAATCAACTTTTGAAAAAACACAAGAAACAATCAATCGATTAGTCACCGAGGTGATAAATCTGAATGAGTGACCTCATTAACAGAACATATTTGATTAGCTGTTGGAATTTTGGTTGATGGCAATACAATTCGTCCAATGGAAAATGCTGGTCGTGTAGGTCGAGGGAGCGATACCGTGTCGCTTACCAATGTAGCAACTACAAATGACATGGTGGGTCTATTTGCTGGATCTTCTTGGACACATAATAATCCGATGTGGATGCATTTTAGCACTTCATCCAGCACACTAGACTCTGTTAATGGGTCCATCAACTCCAACCCTTGTCCTTCAGACCATAATTCCCATGCCTGTGATATTGTAAAAAATACAAAGTTGAATTAGTATTGTCACCACTGATTTCTGTTTTTTCTATATTTTTTTTAAAAAAAAAAAGTGTTGAGGAGATCAAAAAAGGAGACATACATAAGTAATGAGGCTTTGGCCATTTTGGGAGAGAAAGCGATTATTCTTTTTCCCACTAACTATCTCAAGCAGTAGAACTCCAAAACTGAAAACGTCTGATTTAATAGAGAATAATCCTTCCATAGCATACTCCGGAGCCATATATCCACTGTTTTGAATCAAATATGGTGAAAGAAGAGAAGATTCACTGATGTCACTTCTACTTTGAAAACCACATTAATAGCACCTTTTTGCCTTTACAAGAAACTACAATAACTTGAACAAGAGCATTTGTAGACTACCATGCGCAACCCTATATTAGCTTAAAAAAGCGAGAAGGAGATTTCTAAGATAGAGATCTTGGCAAGAGGCCAATCAGGCAATCACATAAGTGCAAAAATAATAACCAAAGGAAGAGAGCTTACTATGTCCCAACAACTCTATTTGTGTTGTCTTCAATTTGATTTCCACCAAAAATCCTTGCCATTCCAAAGTCTGAGATCTTTGGATTCATCTCATGATCTAACAAAACATTGCTAGCTTTAAGGTCCCTGTGAATGATTCTTAGGCGAGAATCCTCGTGCAGATACAAAATGCCCCGAGCAATTCCTTTTATAATGTTAAGGCGTTTTTTCCAATCCAGTATGACACCTTTGGTTGAATCTGCAAGCAAAGAAACATTGTTCAAATCAAGTAGTATGCTTGCCATAATTAGCAAGCATATGAGGTTTAAGGGTCAAACCAAAGAGGAAGACATCTAAGCTTTTGTTGGGCATGAATTCGTAGATGAGAAGTGATTCATTTCCCTCTAAGCAGCAACCTAATAGCCTCACAAGGTTTCTATGTTGCAGTCTAGCAATTAAAGTAACTTCATTCTTCAACTCCCGTAGCCCTTGACCAGAAGTTCTTGAGAGTCTCTTAACCGCAATTTCTTTGCCATCTACTAGAGTACCCTGCAACGGTTTTCAAGGCAGCATAATTAGCAAGCTAACTGAAAAGGATATTAAATCATTAAGATCCACATTCAATCACTTAATCGCCTAATCGTAGTACATGTAATTGAGTAACTAGATAGCTGTTATGAATAGCTGCTTGAAAAATTTACTATCATCATCATGATTACCTTGTAAACAGGGCCAAATCCACCTTCTCCGAGCTTATTATCTTCAGAAAAATGTTGTGTAGCTGCCTTTATGAGATCTAATCCTATCAAAGGAAAGTCTTGGGATTTCGCTTGCTTTTCTCCATGCAAATAATCATTTGAGTAGTCATCGGCAAGTCTTTCTACAGGCAAGTGAATTAATTGACTCTCTTGGCTATGTTCTTTCTCCTCTGCAAGGCATATTGGATTCTATAGAAGTAGCATTTGGAAATAGAATTGTGTTAAACTCCAAGAAGATGATTCTATACCTTGCTCTCTTCTTTTACTTCTCATCCTACGGTACATATAGCATCCAAGTAGTGCAAACATTGACACTGTGGATACACTTGTGCTGATAGTTATAGCTATCCTTCTTTTACTTCCTACACAAAGTAGATAGTCATATTAACCTTTCACAATTCGTGATATGTAATTTTTACCAAATAAGTATAATTAGGTGTACCGACTTCCAAAAACCCCAATATAATACTTAAAATGTACATTCTTTAACAACTTAAAACTTTTGGAATAAGTAATTATTTGAATACTAATCCTATTAAAAATGAATATGCAAGTATTGGAACGCTCTGGAGCTAACCTTTACTGCTTGCATGGAGTCCGTAGAAGGGGTACAACTCGTACCTAATATTACAGCTTGGAAACAGAACTGTCCCCCCTTGTCTTCCATCGCAGCACCCTCTGAGCCTTGAGATTGCATCTCGAAGGCAGGTATCACAATCATAAATGGATAGATCCGGTGTGCACTGTCCAAGGCCATAGATATGTTGGTATGCCGTGAAATTTACTTCTTTAGTGGCAAACTTCTTGCCCGATTGATCATTTGCAGCCCGCGTGGCTATGTCATCCATCATCTCTCGATACACCTGCCTAAACCTGTCTACTTCTGTGATATTTGCAGTATTATACATCATAANGCGTGGCTATGTCATCCATCATCTCTCGATACACCTGCCTAAACCTGTCTACTTCTGTGATATTTGCAGTATTAGACATAATAAAAACAGGTGATTGATCCAGATTTGAGACGATAGATTGGTTTGAGTATCGTAAGAAGCAATTGTAATACCAAACTATGGCGTCTTTCTGGTTGTTGCACCGCCGTAGAATTTCCCTAGTAGCAGTCTCCACACATTCTTGACAATCGTTTGTGGTAACATCACCGCGACAGAGGAACAGGCCGTAGGCTATATCAGGAAGGTCAGTGCCCGCCGTGTCGTAAAAGAATCCGTTGTTGTGGGGAGCATTAACCGATGACATAGCCGAAAAGAGGGAATTCAGGCTGTCTTCATAGGTGCTGTAAGGGCTGTAAAAAAATGTATCTGAGCAGAAATATTGAAGAGGTTGGCAACTAACTTTTGGGCTGAGCCAAAAGCCAAGGAAACAAAGCAAGCACAGAAACAAAAGGAGTCGAGAGACTCTCAAGGAAGCCATTATTACGTATCGTGCTCAAACTCTTCCTCTGAGTGTGTTTAATTTATCTAAATCAGATGCAAAACCCTGTCATGGCTCCGTGGACTTGTTGACGCCAGAAAGCAAGTCAATATTGAAGCGCAGGACCGATATATTTTGCGGTCTAGAGTGAAAATAATAAATGGAATTTTTTAATTTTTAAGGTTAATAACAAATTTAATTTTTAATTTTTTAAATACAAAATATAATTAAAAATTTTAGGACCTTTTAATTTCATGGCTGAATTAATAGTTCTAATCTACATAAATTGAAATATTTTGTTTAAGAATGGATTTAAATTTTTTATTTGGGTTATTATTGCATACCTATAAATTATGTGATCTTTCTTGTAGTGAGGCGTTAAATTTTTGTTTGATTGAACTTGTGTTTTTATAAGATTTTTTTTGTAAGGCTTAAAGTATTTATGAATTTAATTTTTGNCGTTTTTGGTAAATTGGGACTCTTTCCCAACTATTTCAATCGTTCTGGACACGATGGTTCGCTTTGTTTTGCAAAATTCAGACCTGAAATTTTTGATCGAGACATTTAGAGCCTAAAAACTCAAAATGTTCACGGAGATTCAACGTCAAGAGCCATGATCAAACTCACTATCTCCAATTATACACTTTGGAGACCTCGGATGGAAGATCTTCTAAGTTGTAAAGACTTGTATGATCCCTTGTAAGTAAAAGGTGTAAATCCAGATCTGACAAAAGAAACAAAGTGGAAAAAATTGAACAGAAAAATCGTCGGTCAAATCAGGCAATGGATTGACTACAGTGTATTCCACCATGTAGTACAAGAGACTGACACACATGTCCTCTGGAAGAAGCTAGAAGACATGTAGCAAACCCAGACTGCTCGAAATAAAACCCTTTTGATAAGGCAATTAGTGAATCTAAAGTTAAAAAATGGAACTTAAATTGCCGAGCACACTAGTGAGTTTCAGAGTCTGGTAAATCAATTATCATTGGTAGAGTTGAATATGGGAGATGAAATATAAGCTCCATTGTTTCTTAGTTCTCTACTAGAGAGCTCAGAGACCCTGGTAGTCTCTTTCACCAATTCTATTCCAGGAGGCAAACGTACCATGTCAATGGTTAAGGATGCCCTATTCGATGAGGAGGCCAAGAGAAAGGATGGTGGCATTGGCCAATCAAATGCCTTTGTCGCTGAGAGTAAAGGCAGACATCAAGGAAATAGCAGAGGCAAAGGAAGAGGAAGGAGTAAGAATAGAGAAAGGTCACAAGATCTAAGGAGATCAAATGACGGAGGAAGACCTACATACAAGTGTTACCATTGTAGCATACAAGGCCACATGAAGAAAAATTGTCGCAAGTTGCTACGAGAGCAAGGCCAAGTCAGTAATCAGCTGAAGAAATAGGATGAAGAGACGCTAGTCACTCTCTCAAAGGATGTGGCCATTCTTTCTATAAATGAGGAGACATGCCTTCATTTTTTTAACCATGACGCTGAGTGGGTGGTAGATACTATAGCTTCTTATCATTCTACTTCTCACAACGATTTTTTCTCAACGTACAAAGCCGGAGACTTTGGTATGGTGAGGATGGGAAACACCAGTTCTTCCAAGATTGTAGGAATTGGTGATATTCAGATAAAAACAAATGTAAGTTGTACATTGGTATTGAAAGATGTCCGACACCCGACCTTCGGCTAAATCTACTTTTGGGATAGCTCTTAACAGACAGGGCTATGATAACCATTTCAGCAATGACACATGGAAGCTCATGAAAGGTGTCATGGTTATCAATCGAGGATATATTTATGGCATGCTTTGCAAGACCCATGTGAAAATTTGCCTAGAATGGGTTGTTTTCGAAACCGTGTCATGGTTATCAAACTGCATTTCTTCATAGAGATCTGAATGAAGAAATCTATATGGAACAACCGGAAGGTTTCAAGGTTCCAAAAAAGAAAAATCTGGTCTACAAGTTGAAGAAGAGTTTGTATGGCTTCAAGTAAGGCACAGACAGTGGTATAAGAAATTTAACTCATTCATGATGGGTCATAGATACAAAAGAATTGCTGCAGATTAGTGTGTTTACGTTTAGAGATTTTCAGATGACAATTTCGTTGTACTCCTACTTTATGTTGATGACATATTAATCATCGATAAAGATGCAATAAAGATTAGTCAGTTGAAGAAGGAATTGTCCAAGTCCTTTGACATAAAGGACATAGGCCCAACTCAGCAGATACTAGGCATCCAGATTGTTCGTGATAGGAAAACCAAGAAATTGTGGCTATCACAGGTAAGGATGGCAATAGACTAGGTACAAATGGGTATTCTTCCAAACATGACCCGTTTGGACCGACAATGGACCATACGTATTAGACGGTGGACATATACGGAGATACCCGTATAAACCCATGCGGGGATGAAGGCGGGGATGGACTAACATTTACCCCCGCCCCACCTTGCCCCACCCCACCCCACCCCCGCTTTACCTGTTATTATTATTATTATTTTATATGTATACATATTGTTGTGAATACAAATCTATATATTATTGAATAATTTTTCTTTTAAAAATTATTTTATTTTTTGACTTTTTTTTCATGTTTGTAGCTTGTAAAAGTGTAGACCTTTATGTTTTTGCATTTTTTTTATGTTAGATTATGTTATGTTATATTACATTGTGTTGTATTATATTGTGTTGGATTTATACGAGAGACAAGGTTTTAATTATATTATGTTGTAAATGACAAGTTTTTAATTATGCTATGATATTCTATAATTTTATTGAATTATTTAAAATGTTAAATTTATTTAGAATTTTAGACTATGTTGACTTGGATTGGAGCGGGTAAGGTGTACAGAGCGGGGGCGGGGGCGGGGGTGGGAGTGAAGGCGGGGGACGGGGCGAGATGAGGATTACAAATTTACCCGCGGATGGGGATGAGGATGAAAAATATACCCGTTAACGAGGATGAATGGAGTTTTCTTAAATGGGTATGGGGATAGAGAATACACCCCCCGTCCCCGCTTCGGTCTACTACCATCCTTAATCACAGGAGAAATACGTTGAACAGGTGATCCAGAGATTCAACATGGATACTGCGAAGCCAATCAACATTCCACTGGCTAATCATTTCAAGTTGAGCAATAATTTCTATCCCTCAATAAAGGAGATGGAAGATATGGCAACGATTCCTTACTCTTAAGCAGTTGGGAGTCTAATGTATGCAATGATGGGTATAAGGCTAGATATTGCCCATGCAGTGGGCATGGTGAGCAGATTTATTTCAAATCCAGGGAAAGAACACTGGGACGCGGTCAAGTGGATTCTTAGATACCTTAAGGGTACATCAAAGATGTGCTTATGTTATAGGAGAGTTGAATTAGTTTTGGAAGGCTATACAGATTCAGATATATCAGGAGATATTGATGGTAGAAAATCTACATTAGGATTTCTTTACATTTTTTTTTTGGGGGGGGGGGGGGGGTTTGGAGTTTTTT